AATAAATAATTAAAATTATGCCAGATGTTCTAAAGCTCTCTTAAAAATAATGTTTTTGGTGTCTTTACAAAATTTAATATAGTCTTGGCAGCACCTCACATTGCTGGGCAACCTGTTAAATAAACTTGCAGTCTGGTCCCGTAGAGTATTATTAATTAAATTAATTAAAATTAGTACACTAGGCTGTTCTATAAAAACTGAGACTAAAGGTACTTAAGGTTAAAACACGTCCAAACTTGAAACTTACACTAAAAAGCAAGCATAGAAAATAGTTTGTACTTACACATCGGTTCCTGCTTGCACTCTAAATAGTCGAGGGTAGCTTAAAACTTAATTTACTTTAAAACACGTACTGTGCACAATAACTGAAACTTGAACTACAGGCAGGAATGTGCCGCGAACACTATCTATATACATCCACGCGTAAAAACTAATGACGTCATTGCTAAGCAACAAATTGGCGAATTAGAAAGAATCAAGATTACTCACTTAATTGGAGAAGCCTTGATATAGTGTTCATTACAAAGGCTAACATTTGAATCATCAGCTTCAATAGCTTGTTATGGTGGTTACAGGACTTTCCAATTTGTTAAATAGCTATAAAGCCCTCCTTTGCAGCTCAACAGTTTCTTTAGAAACTAATACCTTACTTTGCTATGATTATAAACGAACTGTGATCATGGCAATTTCTTTTTGAAGCTGCACTAGGCCAAACTATTTTAGTCACAGGGTCAATTGAGGGGCTACCTAATGTAGTGGTATCCCAAGTCCATAAAAATATAACTCCCAAATGTCCTGAAACTTGTGGAAGACATTCAATCTGCCACCAGCAGTTGATGAAACAAGCTACAATTGCCTTGGAAATAAACCTTGTATTCTGTAGGAACTTACAGAGCATCACAGAAAGTACACTTCCTAAATAAATGATTTTGCAAGTAAACTGCAGATGTTGAATAAATTACTGTTACCAAATTTTACATCCACTTAGCTAGCCAGCTATACATTATGTACTTGTCATTGGTTTGCCCAGGGTTGACCCTTGGAAAAAACCCCTCAGGGAGGGGAATGTCATGTGAATGTTATGCCCTATACCCTAGGGATTTAGTAGGGTTTTGTTTGACTGTGAAAACAAATCCTCAAGGAGTCCCGGGTTAAACCCTGGAACCGCTGGGGATTTGATAAGCCAGTGATAAGTGCATTAGCATTGATCAAAGTGAAATTACGAAAGTTAAAGTTTCCTAAAGTTTGTCTCAAAGGCAACTTAAAGCTCCTTTAGGGTTATTCAGATCAGGATCAGTTATCCAAGATAACCTGGATCATGGTACATCAAAGGAACCGACGAATCCCTTCGGCCTTGTGTGCTGCACCACTTGGGTCACTGATCCGGATCATTCCAAAGGAACACATCCTTACACCCCGGGCATTACACTCTAATGTGTTAAATGACCGTCTAGAAAGTTGTTAGACTTTCTCAAAGGCCTTCGCGGTTGTAGGCTAGGCAGACCCGGCGCTCCACTACCTATTAGGCTATACCTGCGCTATTCGTACTCAATTTTTGATCGTCCCACCACAACTAGGTTGGGAGAAGCTATATCACGGGCGTAGATCGAGGGAGTATGGGGTTTGGACGCTTGGATGTTGTTTACACTACGTGTCGCCGCTCGACTAGCATGACTTGTGGCCAACATTAGAAAGCTGTCGATTTGATTCGTTTTAATGTTACAGCAAGTCGGCAACTGTTTTCCGACTACCATTTTTGTATCTGTCCAACAAATACACAGTAAATAAACTCACTTGGTTATGTTTTCCTCCACTTTCAGTCGTTTGAAATGCCGCCATATTATCTTCGTATTCTTGAAAATGGCGGGTTTGTAAATATGTCCCATGGTTCCTTTTGTCGCGTCGGATAGAGGACTGGCGCTAAGTCACTGAGTTCCACGACGGCAGCCATGTTCGAGTAGCGGAAGAAAAGATTTAATCCTTCTGTTTCTAACCCTTTAAATATGTCTTATAACGCTGAGAAACCGTCAGGAGACCCTGATGTTCCTGATACAACAGCTGGTGGATTTTTCTCTAGTGATTTTCAAAGGTAACTTCCATCCTTTCTGTATGATTTCCGCAAATCTTGCTTATGACCTTTTATTATTGTCACGAGGTTTCGATTTCTTAAGTTAATTGAGATCTCAATTTGTGTTGTAGGCACGATGATTTGAAGAGTATGTTGGATAGCTCAAAAGACAATCTTAAACTTGACGCTATGAAGAGGATAATAGGGGTATGTCTTGATGTGTTAGCTAGGCGTCAACAGTTCTAGATCTTCACGAGACATAAGTGAACATGAAGGACACCACAGATAATAAGCCTTAATTATTTGATTATGATGCTTTGTGTACTCAAGTACGCTTTGTCAGTTGATGTAAAAAAGATCGCATAGAATGTTGTGATATCATCATAACTAGTCCAAATCAGTCTATAACCAGAACACCCCCTGCCCTCCTCACTTACCTTCCCATTGTCGCAGTGAATGTATTTCTTATGTATATCCTGTAAATAACTTGAGTTAATGGGACAATTTAATGAGTGGCTTATACACAAGCTGCCAGTCTTACTTGAAAAGAGTGAGCCTGACTCTGCTCTGATAAAAGGCTAATCCTAAAATGTCAGAGTCAATTTTTAAACTCACTCCAGCAGAAAATTTAAATGCTATCCACTTTAAATTGATAATCACTAGTAATTCATTACTTTACTTGCACATGGATGCAGCAGTTTTATTAGATACTAATAACTTGGAGATGTCATTGTTGACCAAGAATCAATATACAAGTATGAATATTACATGTATGCATGGTTGAAGAAGCTTCTCTTCTGACTTTGTTACCATGACAGACGAATCTTATGTTTGGTTTTTCAGTCATTTCTTAAGTCGAACTATTCATTATAATAGCATGGTTATCATTTAGAATTCTCTATGTCCAGATGTGCCTCTTGACAGAGCTGTCATCAAGGTCCATAACCTGTAACACCTATTAAGGCAAGGCAACAGCTGACTCAAACCTTGATGGCGGTAGTGAGCACTGCTGGTGATATTTCTGTTTTATTAAAAAATATTCAGAACATTTTGTATACATATGTCTGGTATTTAAATATGCATTTGGTAGCAACATTGAGTTATGGTTAGAATAATGTTTTATCAATAAAAGACAATAATTTGCCATTACTGGACTTCTTGTACATGAAGCTTTTTCTGAGAAAAATGTTACCCATTTCCACTGGTTGAATTGAACAATGATGAATGGTTGTATATTTGTATGAAAGTAGATCTGAGCAATAAGACAGGTCATCACATTGATCTTCAATATTGTGAATGAGAATTGTAGATGCAGGCGTTGGTTAATGTGGTGTTTTCTTTTCTGATTATAGATGATGGCTGATGGTCGAGACATGTCAGGCCTTTTTGCAGCAGTTGTAAAAAATGTTGTTTCCAAAAATGTTGAGGCAAGTAATTTCTGTAAATGTCTGATAGCTTAATAATTCAAGGGACCACTGTAAACATGTTCACTCTTGCAAATAGGAATCTGATGTTAAAATGCCATCTTAAATTAAATTTTGCCAGTGAGTGTGACAGATGTACACAAATCATTTGCTTGTTTTCTATTCTAATAAACTATGTTTGATTTCATCAGGTCAAGAAGCTTGTCTACTTGTACCTTGTTAGATATGCTGAGGAACAACAAGATTTAGCCCTCCTTTCTATAAGCACATTTCAGAAGGGATTGAAGGTTAGTTACACAATGTAGCTTTAAGTCTTATGGAGTAGGGACAATAATTTGTGTGTATTATGTGAAGATATTGTGCATGTTGTGATTGGTCAATGCATCTTATTGACAATACCCTGCCAAACACTACTTTGTTGCTGCTGAGAATAGGTGTGGCTTGTGGTAGTCTATGATTAGAAATGATTAACGCTTTGGACTGCTGATCAATGGTCCAGCATCAAGCACTGGCTTGGGTTCATTTTGTTTTGTTTTGGGCTAGATCTTTACAAGATGCAAACTGTTCCTTAGTAGGGTGGTGTGTGTGTATATTGTCATTCTTCTGTCTTTTCACTTGTATCAATTTTTCAAAGGTTAAGAAAATTTTTGTACTATAAATTGAAAGCAAGTGTATATTACATTTAATTTTACAATTGTTTCCTCACTGAACAGGATCCAAATCAGCTTATTCGTGGAAGTGCCTTACGGGTCTTGTCAAGTATTAGAGTTCCTGTCATTGCACCAATCATGATGTTAGCAATAAAAGAGGTAAGTGCTGTTAATGGTGATTTACGTTTGCTGCTTTAGGTATTAAATTAAGGAAACTTCTGGATTCCACGTGATTACTTGGTTGAAAGAAAATAAACTGTCTGAGCTATCTAGTAAAACCTTCCATTTCTTGGTGTGACTCTATCACCATATAGTGTTAATCTTATCTACAACAATATTCTTGATTGTGATTGGTTCACTGCGCACCTATTTGTAATTGGTGCGTGATCACTTGGGGTGTCCAGTAACAGGGATCTAATTTGAACTTTTTTGTAATTGGATACCTACACCATTCGCATGTCAATTACGCGTGCTTTAATGTCCTCCTTCTTAATACAAACAATCCTGTCCCAGTCCAAACAGTCTGTCACCTTTGGATTATTTGGACTGGGTAAGCTAATGAACTGGTTATGTTTTATTCCTAGGGTGTAAATGACATGTCACCTTATGTACGTAAAACTGCTGCTCATGCCATCCCTAAGCTATACAGGTATCTCACTCTTAGTAACACTTGGAGGTTGCCAAGTGAAAAGTAGTAAATTTTTTCTATACTGGGTTTAAATACTGACTAAGATTATGGTGTTGTGTCTTTGTATAAAGAAAGAACCAAAGATTCTGGGTCACACCAAAGTGTTTATCCCACTTTCTGTAGAATTAGGTGATCATGAGTATTTCATTCCTCCCCTGGATTGAATGCTAGTCCATTACGGTGTTACCCCTCTCCCCTCCCTTGAAGATCACAGCACAGTGACCTTGCCTAGGACTCAAACCTGGACTATTTGATCCAGAGTTCAGCAAACTAACCATTAGGCTACCATAAATGTATGTCTTGGGCAAGATACCTACCCTTGCAGTGCCCCCGTCTACCCAGGAGTATAAAATCAGGGCTTGAAAAAATTGCTGACTAGAAAAGTATATTTTCTTGCTGGGCAAGTTACTTTTCATTTTCTCTTGCCCAATGGGCAAGGGTCCAGGTAAAGTCGTCTGCCAACTACCTCAAAACTAAAAGTAAACTAAGACTTGCCCAGGGCAAGCAAAATCTGATACAGTGTAGCTGGAATTCAAGTTTTTTTTAGCCCTGTAAATTGGTACCAGCAAACATGTGAGGCAACCAAATACGTATATAGTGATACAGTGGACTATGTAAGATCCCATCCAGTGGAAACCATGATAAGCTACTTGTACAGCAGTACAGGTTTCTTTGTCGAAAGTGTGGATATTAACTGTATGCTACTCTACAACTGCAGTGTTTGAATATTATAATTATGTTTTGATTTATAGTTTAGATCCCGAGCAGAAAGATTACCTGATTGAAGTTATAGAGAAACTCCTGAAAGACAAAACAACAGTAAGAAATTATTTCAAACCAGAAATGGAATGGTTACATGTAGCTAGTTGTGTGCTCGTTTATTTGCATTATTTAATCCCCTCTCTGCTTTTATGGCTCTCGATCAAGAGGACAAAAGAGCAAGAACAAGAATCCTTGTACTTTACAAGCATGGCTAGAATGCCATGTACATGTATGTTGTTTTCAGTGGAATCATACCTTACAGCTAACTCTTGAATACAGTGTATGTTTCCCTACAGTACATGACTGCAATAATATTGTTATGGTCCTAACATAACTTGTCAGTCATTTTCTCGTTTACTCCTAAGAACTCCTCAAGTACAGCCACTGCACTACATGTATTTTATCCTCATTTTGTTTGCCTATTTTGCATTGTCTAACTTAATACATGACAGCCATGTAATCTTGTTTTATTATATTTGAATTAGCTTGTTGCAGGTAGTGCTGTGATGGCTTTTGAGGATGTGTGCCCAGATAGAATTGACTTGATTCACAAAAACTACCGCAAATTGTGTAACCTGTTGGTAGACATTGATGAGTGGGGCCAAGTAGCAGTTATTCATATGTTAACAAGATATTCACGAACACAGTTTATTGATCCAAACAAAGAGGTGAGAATATCTAGTTGCATTACACAACTTTTAAACTACTGTATACAGTAGATCTTGGTTGATTGAAAGTACTCCAGTATTAACTTGATTGCAATTTTTTTTCATTAGCCTTTATCAGAGGGTGATTTTTATCCAAAATCTGAATCTGATGATGATGACGACGACAGTGACGATGAGACAACTGAAAAGAAACCAAAGAAGCAGTCTTACATTATGGATCCTGATCATCGGCTACTTTTGCGGACATGCAAACCACTCCTTCAAAGCAGGAATGCTGCAGTGAGTTGTGATTTGATTTACAGTGTGTTAATCTCAATTTGTAGCTGCAAATTACTGAGTGGAATGTAATGTTCAGTTCATTACCATTGTGTTTGATATAAAATTTGCCAGATCATTTACAATCCTCAATTTGCAGGTTGTGATGGCTGTGGCAAGAGTTTATCATCACTTGGCACCCACAGATGAAGTGAGCATTGTAGCACGGTCCTTGGTTAGACTTCTCAGAAGCCACAGGTTGGATTATATGCTGATATAAAATATTATATGTTATGCATTCTAAATTGTATAGTGTAAATTGTTTGCCACAAGAACGATGGAAACAATAAAGTTAATTTATTCATTATGTGGGAAACCTTGTTAGAGTATTCTTTCATTGTTTCCATAACTATGAAATTGAGAGCACCTGAAACATCTGTAGAAACACAGTTGTCCTACAATTTTCACTTTCCCAAGCATCCTTTTGAATTGCTCTAACTTAGTAACTGTACAGACTATACAGATTTTATATACAGACTGAAACAATGAAATCATAAAAAAATAGTATAGAATAGTGTTACATAATGTTCACAATATAGATCGTTTTAACTCAGGTGTCCAGCAGCAATGCAAATTTATTGGAACAAAAGGAAGTGTTTACATAAGAAAAGAGTTGAACTCCCACAGGATTGGTTTGGTACACCAAGATGGCTGCCATTTCATTGTTTTGGGTCGCCAATATCGCTTTGGTGATGTCATGCAAAAATACTCTATTGTAGCAAAAGAGAACTTCTCCTTTAAGTTTATTATTGTAGATAGCATTACTTTATTCACCATAAGATTGTTAAAGTTCAAATGTGAAAAGTCATTTGTAACTATTGATAGACTGAACTGCCTAGACTAGCACTAGCTATTTGCCATTACAGAATCGTGCCCATTGAAAAACGTCGCACGGGAAAATGCAAATACGCTAGAAAAGAGAAAGAGAGCATGCGTAACTTCACACATGTCTGTCAACTCGACTGCCAATCATGTAATCCCCCGTGTACGCCGTGTTCGCAAGGATTGTTTTTTACTCAGACAACCGAAATGTAGCGCTATTCATCGAAGAAGAATAGCCATAATAATATTAGTCGGGTTATCTTGATTAGGCTATATTGTTTAAAAATCGGTCAGATGTAAAATTAAATTACCTTTTAAATGTCGGGTTTTTATCAGAACTAAACTAACAGAATAATGTATGGAAAGCCAAAAGCAAAAATACAAACAATCGGCAGTCCAAATGTTTATTTACATTTGGTTCACACAGCTGGTTTAAAAATCTATGACACAATCCGATGGTGCGATCAAATTTAGTGATCTCTCTTCGAGGAAAGCAATTTCGTTTATGTTTGTAGTAATACATTTATGGTAGAAAAAACTAAAATCAAAAACAAGCACTCACCTTGAAAATAGAGTTCCAACGTGGACAGATTTCGAAGTCACTGAGCGTGTCGGGTGATCGCAAAGCATTAAAAAATGCTTCCAAAACAAAACCAACTCTCCACACGAATAAGTGGCTACTTAAAACATTAAAAACAAGGACTACATGAGAATTTCCGTTCACAAATACGGATAGATTAGAGAATTCCACGGGGCGGACGTCGATTTTATTATTTTTTTATCGTAAAGGGTTGCTCGTGATCACGTGGTTAGTATACGGATAAAGACTTCATGCTCTGTTGATATGCAAATGCAGCCTTTGCTCTTTACTGACGAAAAGAGCATTTCATCACTTTCAAACAATACTAATTGCTCCAATTGTATCTCCATTGTCTGTAAACAGACACAAAGCGAAATTTTACAACTCCCATTTAGGAATGCGGCAATTCAGATCTTAAGAGACCGAAGCTGGTGGTGAACTTTTGCAACCTCATTCCCAGGTCATTGCACCTGCAAAGCATCATGGGTATCCCACTTTTCCCAGGCGACGCTTTTCAATGGGTGCAATTCTTTAATGCGGGCCAGTCCAACTGTAAAGTGTACATTAAGAAATAAAAAATGTTGATTGATTGCAATAGTTGACTTGATAAATTCTGCTTTCCATCACAGAGAGGTACAAACCGTTGTCCTCAGTAACATTGCAACAATGTCTTCTTCAAGAAACGTAAGTGTGTCTCTTTCTCAGTAAGAAAGATCTCATCTCTTTTATTAGTGCTTACTGACTTACGAGATAGCTGGGCAGGGTTAATATTTCGCTAAAGTTATGATGTACTGGCAAAGCAAAGTAATGTCTGTCAAGAGCTAATGTGTAGTTCCAGAAAATATCCATACCTCCTCCACGGAAGGGATTTTTTCTAACACCCCGGCACCCCTCTGGAAATTCCAGTTAAGGTGGCTTACCACAGTTTTGATGGATTATAACAGCCCAACTTCTAACTCTTTTGAAAAATGTTCCAAGATGTTTTTCCTTTCTCTATTTACTGTTTACTTAAGTCTTTTATCATTCTNACCTCGAAATTTCAGGAATAAGAAATTGGCTCTGATTTAACATTCATGCAAAGTAAAATAAAAATCTGTAAGACAGATTTTTCGTAAACTAAGAAAATGGGAAATCAAAAATAGCTCAAAATCTGTCTTACAGGTTTTTATTTTACTTTACATGAATGTTAAATCAGAGCCAATTTCAGTTAGTTCCATGATTTGTAATTTTGATTGCCTATTTTTGTTCTTTGTTTGTGTGGGCCATGACCTAACAGTGCTTTTGTTCTTCATGTTTGTGTTTGTTTTACAGGGAATGTTTGAACCATACCTTAAGGGCTTCTTTGTTCACTCTAGTGATCCAACTCATATTCGGCTGTTGAAGGTATAATGTAAACATTCTGTTCACCACTTGTAAGTGCAAGTTATTGTAATATTATTGTAATATTTGGATACAGATGACATTTTTATGACTATTTTGACTGTTATATTATGTTTTGTAAATCGTTGCTTCATTACTCTTTTCCCTAAAGTAGAAAAATATTTAATAGTAAGTTTGAAGTATGTATTTAAAATGTTGTAGTTGTGACTTAGGTTTCTGTCTACTGTATGTGTATGATCACCATTCCTAACAGCAAATTTCAAAAATTATTGTCTGATGTAATATTATTGTTGGTAGCAGGGATAGGAATAGCAGTAGTAGTGATAATTATGCTGTCTAGGTTTGTTACCAGTTTCATCTGCTGTGGACACACCTTCCAGGACTGACCCTTGTACTCACATCCTCTTTTCTTGTTTTGTTTCCTTTTCAGCTTGAAATTATGACAAATATTGCAGGTGAAACTAGTATTGGGACAATACTTAGAGAATTTCAGGTATCTAGATTGACATATGAATGCAAGTTATTCATTCCTGCAAGCACAATAATCCTTAGCCTTACTGCTCCTTTCAATAACATGTGAACCCTGCTCAACAATTTCGTGTTTCACTGCCATCAATCATTTTGGCGGACCTCACAGAAAACAGAAGAAAGTCATGTCTGGGGGTTAGAATTGGTAGATGTTGATCCACTTTGTTTGTTTGTTTGGTTTTTTTTTTCAAGGTTCACTGGTTGTTGTCGTAATAGTTATGATTGATGACAGCCAAGATTGCAATCATTAGTGAGGTTTTGAACTTCAGAGTTTGTTTGTTATTGAAAGGCACAGTAAAGAATATATTAAAGATTGAAGACTGACTTCAGTTTGAAAACTCAAGATTACATATGTATATCCATTTGATCTGTTACAAACATACACATGTCAAAAGGGAAACAGGGTCAATTTTCTGTTGCGGTTTAAGGAGAAAATATCTGACAATAAATGTGTGCTTTATAAACTGATCTTTTTGTTTAGAGCTACATTTCCAGTCCAGATAAACAATTTGTGGCATCAACAATTCAAGCTATTGGAAGATGTGCATCAAATATTTCTGAGGTTACAGATACCTGTTTAGCTGGCCTTGTGCGACTTCTTTCCAACAGAGATGGTAAGCACTTTCTACATCATTTTGCATGCTTGTGCAACCAAGTCTATGATGCCACTATGAGTAGAGCAAAAAAAAAGAAGTTTTAAAATATCAACATGGACAGAAAACTGTTTTAATTGTTAAACCATGATCAGTGGAAAAAAAGATTGTCAATTTAGTAGTGTATAACTTGTCTGTCAACAGAGGTTGTGGTGGCAGAAAGTGTGGTGGTCATCAAGAAACTTCTTCAGCTCAAGGTGAGAGTGGAATCCGTTTAGTTTTCTATCAAACAACATTCAAATTTAAAGACAATCAACTTCTATTATAATGTCTAATTTAAAATTACTATTTTAACCTATCTGTAAGTTACTTGACTTGTCTGGGCATCATAATTTTGTAATCCGTTTTGGAACCTTAATTTCTATTGTTTCATAGAAAACACAACTTTATGATGTAGGATACTTGAATTCATTAGTCTGCAAAAGCATCTAAACTTTCTTGAAACATTACGCTTTGTTTTTACTCTTTATTTTTCAAGTGGGATTGTTACCGAAACGGTAATCACATGGTAAAAACCCTTACTAACTTGTTGCGTTCGACGAAGTGGAACGCAAACCTAATTTTGACCTGTGGCTTTTCAGAGTTGGCAACCCTGTGCACGGTTCTAGGCCGAAAAAAACCACATTCCTGTAAGGACACCAAAATGGCCACCCCACTTGATTTTTGCAGGGGCATGTCACGGCCAGTTAACTGGTACCGTTTAATGCTAAGACATGTGATAAGACATGTGCTGAACATGTGAGTATGTGAGCAGGCCATGTGAACTCGTCTTTCCGATGGATTTTTTTTTGACTTCTTTCCGTTCAGTCGCTGTACGCCTCGCTATTATGTGCTCTCAGC